CTGATGGTAGGTGTGGTATGGGTACCCAGACATGGTTGGCAGTGATTGGGACTCACCGGAGAAGACGAAACGGAGTAAACTGAGAAACTCGGGTAGACTAGACTAGTGCGCGACCTCATAATCCAAAGGCAGCAAAATGGCATGGAAGGGAATGAGGCCTAGGGGGTCCTCCTATTTATAGCCATTGTACCCCCGAATCAACGGCCCAGATCGAAGCAGATCTGACGGCTTGCAGTCAAACTGACCGCACGCCTTCTGAAACCGAAATGTGACTGGCTGCACGTATCCCATGATTGGGGTAGTGACRACTGCACGGCATCCGGAGTTAAGAGCCGCTTCAGCACATTTTCGGTATTCGACAAGTCAGAAAATCCCATGGTTCCCGTGCAGGCATTTAATGTGAGCAGTCAATCAAGTTTGAGCTTCGGTCAAATCAATCCGTCACACTCCATGAACTCCTCGCGCTAAGGAAACGCTCTTAGCTCGAGGAGTGGGGGGCAATTGATGGAAGATGATTTGATCTGACCTACTGAGATGAAGACACGTGGACCTGACTCAGCACGAGCAACAGCTCAGCAGCCTGGCTTGACCACGACCAAGTAACAAGCCTATAGAACAGCTCGCTACGTCATAGCTCTCTATAGGGGGAGCTCGCTACGGCATGAACTCCAGATCCCCCAAGCTACTAAGAAGGGAATACTCCAAGATTATTTCAGCTCGCGAGCTAGGGAAACCAGCTCGCTCAACACATGGGCAGAATAACTGCCCCAATGACCAACCTTGATGAGGGTTACCTCGAAGTACCCCTAAGAGCTTGCTACAAAGTAGCTCGCAACAAGGATAGCCCACTACGAAGTAACTTGCGACTGTGATGCGACGCTCTTGGGAAGCTTCCATCTGAAAAGACTGTACTTGTCAGACTGCGACGTCTCTCGACTGAGCGCAGTCCCTACCCGATTGATAGTCTGCCCCACGTCTCTTGACAGATGGTGGTGTGCCTGGCTCTTCGGAGATGTGTCACTCAGCCGAGCAGGAAGTACGTCGTAACGATCACCTGCGCAGCCCTGGCAGGTAACGACTGTGATAGGAGCCCAGTGGCGGTTACGCTTGATTTGACAAGAATGCCCCTATAAAGCCCTAAAGCGGAGAGACAACTCTATCTCGGAATTAGATCTGAACTTGCACTCTTACTTGCTCACGAGCTAATCTTGAGACGTAGTGATCTAGCGCGATCTACACTCTTAGCCTTTTGTATTCTCTCTCCTTCCTCCCTAGTGTTCTAACTTAAGCTTCGGAGTATTCCCGTCGAGTAAATCCCCAGGAATCCTTCTTCTTCATCTTCTCAGGTGTCGTTCGTTGCCAACAAGGAGCCAGTCAGCAGCCAGGTAGGAGTGCCCGAATCGTGCCGCATCATCCTGAGTTGAATCTGTTAAATCCAAATCCTCATTTTCCAAATAAAGCAACTTGGTGTGTAGGCTCTCATCAGCACTGAGAGGTTTGGCTTTTTTTAGTTCCATGCTTCCAATGCGTGAAGAGCCTTCAGACTATGATTCTGAGCTACTTTTTTCCTCCGTCGCACAATCCTCAAATGCGTTTGTAGTATTCTGATTTATTGTCRCCGGAATGAGGGAACACCCTGTCTCCACTGTCGTCGGGTGCTTCTTGAACCTCGGGTTAAGCCATTCCGGGGAGTAGGTTTTTTTCTTCTTTCTTGGAGCCCATGCCTAGTTCAGATTTGCTACTCCACTGCAGTTAACCCTTTTTCCTGCGGGCACTAATTGAGATTTGCTCGAGGGGGATGATGATAGACCATCTTTTTGGTCCATCATCTCCCCTTTTCCTTTGGTCAAGTGCCTACTTAAAATGGTGCATGGCTTTTTAAGGCCTAGGTCCACCCGATTTAAAACAATCATCCCATTCACATGAATAAACCCATTAATTTTTTATGGTCCTTGGCCCAACCCCCAAATCTCTTTGCCAATCACGTGTTTACTTAAAACAACATGTGACCGGCCTCGATTCATTGGACCAGAATGAACCGGCTCACAAGACTGGATCAAAACCTGAACCCTTGCCGACCTTTGTTCATTTTCTTTTGAAATTTGAACTCTTGGGGCAAGTCTGTCTCTATTTAATCCTCCTGTCACCGATTGAACATAGGACCTACCCTCCCTCAGCCCACCCTACCATGCAGACTTTCCCCAAGTGTTTAAATTATTCTCTTTTTTCTTGGACACCTCAGTTGACTTAGCCTCTCTTATAGAGACTAATCTGAAGGGATGAGAGATCCATCATATGGATAGCCGAACCCTACAGGTAGGTTGGGCGAAATTTCAAAAATTTCTCTCTCTCCCATCTGAGAATCACATTCCCTATTTTAGAAAACTGCATTTTCAAGGATCAATATTGAATCCTAAAGCAGACCAGACCTGAAATTAAAAAGGTAGGAGAGGGATATACTTGATACATAGTAGTAGTAACTCCCAATGAAGGTGTTCAAGCCCAAGGAGATCTCCAAAGACTACTCCCACTAAAGATGACACAGTGTAGGGTGGAGCAGAATCAGTAGGGTGGTCCTTCAACAAGAACTTGATTCTTCACCAAGAATCTTATGGAGGGCGAGTGAGCACGGCTTCATATCAGTTTTTCTCCAAAAACTGATATCAAGAACCTTTCTTGATCACTTCTACAGGTGGAGATCGAACTGGCTATGGCTGCAACAGCAGGAGAAGGCAAGAGCAGAAGATGGCATCAGTCCAACTGGTGCTGTCTTCTTTCTTCAATYTGTAATCTGATCGGTGAACTGGGGTTCGCCCTTCTCCTCTATTTATAGCCTTAAAGAGAGCTTCTCCTAATCCTATTAGGAGTTTCCTAATCCAAATACAAGATTTGGATCTGGACTCTCTTTAAGAGATAAGGATAATCCCTTATCTTATTTGCAGATAAAGAACAGCCCTCCTAATCTGATTAGGAGTTTCTTGATCCAAATCTCTATTTGGATTTGGACTCTCTGAGTGGATAGGGACAATCCCTTATCATATCTGCTGATCTAAATCCCAGAACCGCCCCTCTTTAATTAATCATATTAAACCAGTTCGAATTGGGTTTTAGGCCCATCAAGTTCATGTGCTCACTTATCCTCCAAACTACTGCTAGTTGGGTATCATTGTATGGCGTCGGACCCAAACATTGATTTACACATCAGCCACATGGGTTCAACCCATTCTCTGTTACAAGGCCTGGCCGAATTCACTGTAGGTGACAGTGAACCCTTGAGCCCATCACCATAGGCTCTTAATGGGCCCAACATTTACACTAAATGGTCATTGGGTCAAGCCACCTTATAAAAACCCAAGAACTGTGGATAGATGCAAGATTAACCCATCAGGCATTATCATCAATGGTCTTACATTTAACCTCTAGAATTACTGGAACTGGTGGATCTGTTGCATCTGGATCTGCATCGTCTGGACACTCTGAACGAGGTTGTTAAACTGGGAATGCCCAACCCCAGGGGGATCATAGAGGGCTCCGAGAATGTGGTGCTCACTTGGGGGAGCGGGACATTCACTTGTTGGGTGGTCTGTGGCACAGACAGTGATGGGACCCCCAAAGCTGTCAAGGGGATAGTGAACTAACCGATAGTCACCGAGGGACCTTGGGGAATGGTCGTTTGTTGTTCTTGTCCCCCGGTGACGTTCATGTCGAGACCCTTTCTAGTATTGCTCAAACATGCCATTAAGAGTGAGATTGAAGTTGAGATTGAGACTAAGATTGAGATGACCTTTCAATCATTTCCCATAGACGACRCCAATTGATGGTGCGCGATCTGGATGCTCCTAGCTATAAAGTAGCTCGAACGCCTGCCACCAAGTAGGTCGCTCGAACTACAAAGAAAAGGAGGAATCAAAGAACCCAGGGTGACTAACTCGGTAGGGTCGCTCCGATGCTTAAGTCAGTAATAATAATACACGTGCTGAGAGTTTGAGAAATATGATCATCGGTCCGTGTAGATGGGACCGATTCCGCTTTAGAAGGAGAGTAACGTATCAGTCAATGAAGTATATCATTACCGTCCGATCCAAGCGGACGTGTAGATGGGACCCGTTTTATAGTTGAGCTACTGTGGGTCTCATGAAACGGCTCCGGGATCCTCGGTCCGTGTAGATGGGACCCGTTCCGCTTTAGAAGGAGAGTAACGTACCAATCAATGAAGTATATCATTACCGTCCGATCCAAGCGGAGAGAGGATAAGGCTTGCCGTTACACGACGTGATCCCGGGAGATTCGGAGTCCGCCGAGAAGCTTCTGGAGTCGCTTATGTGTCACTTCAGTACTCGGGTTCCGAAGTGGCTTTGGTGCCGAAGTAGCTTTGGTGCTGTGGTGCCCGAACACCTGAGCTCTCAAACTGTTAACTAGACTCTCCTTGCTGAGTTGTCATCCTACTGGCAGGTCGTGTCCACGTACCCCTTATTTACTAGGTTGGGCCAAATCATCCCTTATCAATTTCTTTTAGATATTTAGGATAAGTTTTGAATTCTTATTTAGCGTCGATCGGGATCTGATGGTCACCTGTCACCAGGATACATCGATGCTGACAATCTGCCCCAATTAACAGTGCACCTTCTAGGTTCTAACATACACTGCTGACTGTATGCATTTATCAAGATCAATGGAGGAACCGATTTGGTGTTGACGGAGAAGAATATCTCTTTCTTAGCTCGGGAGCTCAATGGAGAGTTGAAAGAATGTCTACGATTACGCCAATGGTAGTTTAAGAATCTCAGAGCTCAAGGATAAGCATATGAATAATATTTCTTTCTTAGCTCAAGAACTCAACGGAGGATTGAAAGAATCTTTGAACAGTTAACAACGATGACAATTATCAGAAAACGTACCGCAAGACAATAGGTAAGCAGTGGGGGTACTGTGTGTAATTACGCTAAACATAGTTTAAAATATTTACGCAAGTCCAAATTGACAGGCCACAATTGGTACGAGTCTGATCATCAGGCTGCAATTGTACGTGGGCGCTGTTTGTTATCATTGCAGTAACAAGGCACAGTCGTATCGTTTATTTAGCAACTGCAACTTTACCGTCGCCCTCCCGAGAAACCAATTCCAAACGATCCCGAGAGTCACAGTTTCGCTACAATACAACCCAAAATCCCTGTTCGATGTGCCTCTAAACAGAGGGAGGCCCGGACTCCGTAAGTTCATTTAATCAGGTTCTCTTCCCTCCTGAGTCACTCAAGGAGGTAAGTATATTTCTTCCGCTTCTTTTCTGCTCGGAATAAAACGTCGACCAAGTTTTCTCGACTTTCCGTCGTTTATAAAAGTCAGACATGGTTCAAACTTATATGTCGTTCATTATGCAACAAACCCATCTGTGTCATCTTTCTGGATGATACTTTTTGGTAATTTGTTCGAGACTTTAACTATGTTGATCTAACAATGGGCAGCTCGCTGTTATTATAGGTGACATTCTCTGTAAGGTGGATGACGAGATACTGAACTGCTCAGTCTCTATTTCGATCTATACTTTCAATGTGTATACATTCTTAGCCATTTTGTGTTCATTGCGTTATGACAAGGACATTTTGGGATCTCATCCTTGGGTAGATACTTGAATCATTTAGAAAACATGAACGAGTATTATTGGAGATCTTTTTCTGCCTTAGTTAGAGTACTTGGAAGTTCAGAAACTAGGAGTTATTGCATCTTAGAATTTGGTCAGTGCTTCAATGTCCTTTAATATTCTGTGCTATCGCAGCTCTATTTTTTTTTCCTTTTTTCTTTCTTATCTCCCTCGTTTTATGAGTTCAAGAGAACTATCACTTCTTGTCTTTCTAGTTAGCTTTCCGGATTTCATGCCAAGATCTGCACTTGTGGTTTTTATTTAATAAGCCTCATTAAGTTCCTGTTTGCTGTAAATTCTTTAATTAGATTAGCAGATGGATGCCCTTTGGCTTGGTGTCCTTTGTAGGGTTTTCTTTATAGGTGAGACAACACTTAGCCAAGGTTTTGATGTGGCGTAATCTGGCTGCTCCCTGCTGGAGACGATCTGGCTGCCAGTAATGACGAGAACCGAGGTTCCTGCAAGAAAGGAGTTAGAGATCCCGGGGCGGCTTATCCAGCGGGGACACTCCGATGGCTAAGTTAGCACTTAGTAGTAGAGAGCTTGAAGATGATATCAGAGAATTAGAGAGCTAGAGAGCAACGATTGCACACATCATACCTTCGCCCCTAGGGGTGAGGTCTTTATATACTGGAGTCCCTGCGGGTTTGGTGGAGCAGTTCTTGGATCCTCGCTGGGATGGGATCCGCTTTCGTGTTAGGTGGGGATAATGCCACCAACCGGTAAGGTCGCCCATCTCCGCCTGAATCGGGAAGTGGGTGAGCTAATATAGCCGTTAAGGTACGATCTCGTAAGACGTGGGATACAGTGGTGAGCTCCTCGGGGTTGTCACACGGAGGTCGGCCTGCCTAGTGGTGAGCTGCCTGAGTCCGTGTTCTTCAGACCCGACCTGCTCTGAATGCTGAAGTGCCTTAGTACTGAGATGATCTTGAACTGAGGTAGGCTTGTCTCGAGGTGAACTCTTTTCGAGGTGGGCCCAATTGTCTGAGCTCGATCTGTAGCGGACTTGGTACCGTTATCCTGGTTACGAACTGGTACTGAGGTGATCTTAGCCCGAAGTAACTCTAGTTTGGGGTAACAGGGTGCCCGAGGTTGCTTTGTAGAGAACTGATCATGCTGAGTTGTCAGTTATGTCGAGTCATGTCCACGTGTCTCCCTGTTACGAGGTCGGGCCAAATTTCCCTTCATCAATTGCCCCCCACTCCCCGAGCGAGGGGTCTTGACCCGGTGCGAGGAGTTCATGATGAGCCAAGTGGATTTGGTCCGAGGTCTGGACAGCTAGCCAGATGATTCACGGGTCGGACTTGTCCGTCCATCCGGCTCAACCAGGAAAACCCAGGTCGCGTCTGGCCTACGCGCGGACGTCACACGATCTATAAACTCCGCGGACGTAAAAAAATGCGCTAAACCGATTTTATCCTCGGGGGTTGCGCAACCGATTTTCCTAGGAGCCGTTGGATCGCTTCGATTGCGACCGTTAGTTCTCGAACATAGCAGTTATTAATAGGGGGACCACGACTCATTTTTCTCRCCACAAGTTCACAAGTCTATTCTGAGATCGTGTCGGGATCCTTCAGCTCACTCTTCTCTTTRTTTTCCAAGGTCAACCTTCTTTTTGGTGAGTCCGTGTTTTCCTATTCTTCCTTTGTTTTTTTAATAATATCCAGTTCTAGCGTAGATAGACTTTTAGGTAGTTCTAGCGAGGTTGAGGGTGTCGTGGTGCAATCCGTGGCCCCTACAGGGGAGGTCAGCTCGCCGCAGGGTGATTCCCCTCTTCTGTCTTTAGTGGAAGCTTCTGCTCCCGAAGTTGAGCCATCTTGGCTCGGGGAGACCAAGGTTTAGGAAGAGGGTCCATCCTCTAGGATAGAGGCCCCGTCTTCTTTCCGGGATTGGGATCCAGATGACTTCGGTCCTTCCACCCTAACTTCTGATAGGCTAATGTACCTTGTAGCTCGCTATCGTCTTCCTGATAGCTTGGTTTTTAGCCTTCCCTTAGGTCAATACCCTTGGGCTCATGATCACCATGAGCTCGCAGTCTTTGAGGAGCAGCTCGCGGCTGGGCTGCACTTCCCGCTTCACCCTTTCATTATAGAGGTAGTTAATTTTTTTAACATTACCATCGACCAACTACATCCGAACTCTATTCGGAATATAGTTGGTACTATCTCTTTGTTCCACACATACAACCGACCTCTACCCTTAGACACCTTCAGCTCGATCTGTGCGATCAAGCGAAACTCTGCTTGTCTATGCGGGGACGTCAGACAAAGCTACTATATCTCACCTTGTCTTGGTTTCAAAATCCTGTTCGATTGTCTAAACAAGGTTCCCTCCTAGAAAAGGAGGTATTTCATTATTCGAAATCCTGAAGGGTGGTCTTTTCCAACCCACTGGAGGGTAGCTATCAAGGATCCCGAGGTGAGCTTGGATGCAGAAACTAGGGCAGTCATCAACTCGTGGAGGGACCTCGGCCTCGAGATGAAGGATTTCTTGGCCGAGGAGAAGCTTGTGCAAGCTGGTTTGAGCCCTCTTGGTAGGTTTTCACCTTGGTTCTTTATTTTTAAAGTTCTTTTTAATTCGCGGCTAACCTTTTGTTCTTGCAGTTGCCATGCCGGAGGTCGATGCCGAGAACCTTCTCAAGAGTTCTCAGAGAGGGAAGAAAAGGAAGGCTTCGAAGAGGCTTTGCCGGGAGGCCGGTCCTTCAGCCCCTGCCTCATCCGAGGTCCAGGCTATGGAGCCGATCTCTACCGAGCTCCCCGAGGAGAAGGTTCGTCCTCAACACCCCATAGTGGACCTGGACGACGACCTGGAGGACGGTGCTCGGTCTCGTGAACCGGGGAGCACTTCTGTACCCGAGTGGGAAAGTGTCCAACCTCGCCATCTGGGGAGTACTTCTGCATCGAGACCCAGGCCTTCCAGTGAGAGCATAATGACTCTCAAGCTCGCGATGCACAAGAGCAAGGATGCCACCTTCCCTGACGAAGTCGCAGAATGGGCTGACATGTCCACAGCCCTGCTTGGAGCCCGAGCTGCCGGTTATTGCATGGTGGTAAGTATCTTATTTTACAGTTTATTTCTGTCAATTGCAAGTGTACTTACTTCAGTTATGTTTGCTAGGTGAATTCCGCCATTCAATCGTTGATGTGCCAGTCTGAGATTCGTCTGAAGCGGGCTCTGGAAGCCAAAGAAAAGGCACGTGAGTTTCACCGCGAACTGGACCTAGCTCGAGGTGAAATACTTCRGGCCAAGAATGGAGCCCGAAGTCAGCAGGAGCTGATTTTGGCCATGATGGAGGATAAGGAGAAGCAGTAGGAAATGATCTCCGCATTAATTGAGGAGAAAACGAAGCAACAGGAGCAGATCTCGACGCTGACTCAGGAGAAGGCGAAGCTTCAACGAGAAAACGAGAGTCTCGAAGTGATGATTCAGGAGTGGACTGAGATCTTCGAGACCGCTATCCAAGAGGTGCAAGCTGAGGAAAGAAGCCGCATTGTTGAACGCTTTAAGGAATCCTCAGAGTTCCACGATCTCCAGGTTGAGTATGGATCGAGCTCCTACCGCTCCGGGTTCAAGCTGTGCCGGTACTTAGTGCGGTAGAAGTTCCCTGACCTTGATCCTAGAGTCCTTACTATGTCAAGCTTTACCCCCGAGGTGGCGAAGGCGGCGAACAAAGAGCCCAGCTTGTCCGAGGAGGAAAGTAACGATGAAGCCGAAGAGGCGGGCCCCTCGGGTTAGGAGGACATGGAGACCGACCCAACTGACAATCCTTCTAAGTGATTCTGGCTCTTTCTTTTTTCTGTGTTTTGAATGTATGCCCCGAGGCCACCGAGCTCGGGTTACAACGAAGTCTCTGTACTCACACTTTTTCAATCAATGAAATATAACTTTTTCAGAGCAATCTTTGTGCAAAGTAGGAATTGTATAGGTTACCTGAATTGTCGAGCTACCGAGCTGGACAACAAGTAAGGATAACCAAAGTAAAAATTTGTCTAAGTGTTTGTTACCCCGAACTATCTACTCGGACTATTAGTAGGGGCAACTTTACGTAAGGCACGCCAAGGTGAGCGCTATTGCAGGGTATATACCCGATCTGTTCGCGCACGGGCTACTTAATTAAATGTTGGTCCTCTGACGGACCCAAACTGTGATTGTTGCCGAGGTGGTATAGACATCGTAGGGTTTATACCTAAGCTGTCTATGCCTTTGGCATTAGAAGTAACTTGCCTATTCCAAAGAGGCAACTAGGTCTTAGATGCCCATGCCAAGGAGGTGACTGCGACTTAGCTCGCCCATGCCGAAGAGGCGACTGGGACTTAGGTTCCCAYGCTGAAGAGGCGTCTGGGACTTAGCTTGCCCATGCCGAAGAGGCGACTGGGACTTAGGTGCCCATGTCGAAGAGGCGATTAGGACTTAGGTGCCCATGTCGAAGAGACGACTGGGACTTAGCTTGCCCATGCCGAAGAGGTGATTGGGACTTAGGTGCCCATGCCGAAGAGGCGACTGGGACTTAGGTGCCCATGCCAAAGAGGCGACTGGGGCTTAGCTCGCCCATGCTGAAGAGGCGATTGGGACTTAGGTGCGCATGCCGAAGAGGCTACTGGGACTTAGCTTGCCCATGCCGAAGAGATGACTGGGACTTAGCTTGCCCATGCCGAAGAGGCGACTGAGACTTAGCTTGCCCATGCCGAAGAGGTGACTGGGACTTAGGTGGCCATGTCGAAGAGGCGACTAGGACTTAGCTCGCCCATGCCGAAGAGGCGACTGGGACTTAGTTGGTGCCGAGGTCATTTGTAGCTCGGCCTTTTAGTCTGGACTTCTAGGAGTGACTCGCAGTCCATTCTTCAGTTTAGAAATTACAGGTAGTATCACCTTAGATTGCTGATGTTCCACGCCCGAGGTACTTGCTTTCCTTCAAAGGTTTCGATCTCATACGTACCTTCCCCAAGTACCCGCTTTACTCGGTAAGGACCTTCCCAATTCGGTCCGAGCTTACCTACACTGGGCTCAGGCACCATAACTTTYCGAAGGACCAGGTCCTCGATAAGGAAGTGCCGCTTCCTGACCCTGGCATTATAGTACTGAGCCACTCTTTGCTGGTAGGCTGCGGTCCGGATATATGCGAGGTCTCGTACTTCTTCTACCAGGTCAAGGTTGGTACGAAACTCGTTATCGTTTTCTTCGTCATCGTACACCTCCAGGCATAATGTAGGTACTTCGATCTTGGCTGGGATTACTGCTTCCGTGCCATAGGTGAGGTTGAAGGGGGTTTCACCTGTGGCAGTCTTGACAGTGGTTCGGTAAGCCCATAGTATGCTGGGCAGCTCGTCTACCCAGAGTCCCTTAGCTCGGGCTAAGCGAGCTTTTAGTCCGTGGAGTATGGCTCTGTTCGTGACTTTCGTCTGCTCGTTTGCCTGAGGGTGTGCTACCGAAGTGAAGTTTTGCTATATCCCCATCTCGGCACACTAGTTCTGGAACTTGATATCTTCGAACTGCTTACCRTTTTCAGAGATGAGCACTCGAGGCAGTCCGAAGAGGCATACTATGCTCTTCCAAAAGAAGTTTTGTACAGTTCGAGTTGTGATTGTTGCTAGGGGTTCCGCCTCTACCCACTTTTTAAAGTAATCCACTGCTACCACCAGGAATTTTCTCTGTCCTGTCGCTGGCGGGAATGGTCCAAGAATGTCGATTCCCCACTGTGAGAAGGGCCATGGGTTGGTGAGGTACTTCAGGTCGGTAACAGGTTGGTGATGGATGTTGGCGTGCCTAGCATTTATCACATTTCTTGACAAGCTCGAGTGTGCCTACCTTCATCGTGGGCCAGTAATATCCTTGTCGTAGCGCTTTCTGAGCAAGAGCCCTGCCCCCCAAGTGTCCACCACACAGGCTTTCATGAGTGTCATGGAGATCGAGCTCAACCTCTGATGGTCGCAAGCAGCGCAAATAGGGGAGCATGTAGGATCTCCGGTACATCCGTCCGTCTATCATGACGTACTTGGCTGCCTGTCGCTCTACCCTTTTGGTCGCGTTGCGATCTGCAGGTCGGGTTCCATGAAGCAGGTAGCTCGCGAGTGGGTCAATCCAAGGTAGGTTCTCTATGTACACGATCCTCATGGTATTGCTGCTCGTGCTGGCTAATCGGGACAGGGCATCGGCCTCAGCGTTCTCGGACCTTGGAATCTACTTGATGAAGTACGATTGGAAGTTGTGTAGAACTTCCCTGACCTTGGCTAAATAAACAGCCATGGTGGGGTCGCGAGCTTCGTAATCGCCGGTGACCTGGTTGGCCACGAGCTGGGAGTCATTGCAGATGATGATGTGTTTCGCTTGTACCTTATTCGCTAGTGCGAGCCCGGCTAGTAGTGCTAAGTACTCYGCTTTGTTATTAGATGCCGCGAACTCGAATCGAAGTGCATACTCTAGTTTCACTCCACTTGGCCCGTGCAGAATAGCGCCGGCTCCGCTTCCTTGTTGATTGGATGAGCCATCTACATGGAGGATCCAGGGCTCCTCGTCCCAAGTTGGCCTTGCTCTAACCGSGGCCGGTGCCGTACTGATCAAAGCTTCCTCTTTTTGCTCAAGCTCAGTCAGTTCAGGGGTTGTGGTGCTGAAGGTGCATTCTGCCATGAAGTCGGCCAAGGCTTGGGCCTTAATCGCCGTCTGAAGCTCGTACCGGAGGTCGTACTCGCTAAGTTCGATGGCCCACTTCGCCAGTCTATTGGATACCTCGGGTTTGAGTAAGACTTGCCTCAGAGGTTTGTTGGTGAGAACGACGACTGTGTGGGCTTGAAAGTATGGACGAAGCTTTCGAGCTGCTGTGTCCAGCGCGTACGCCAACTTCTCGATCTCTGGGTACCTGGTTTCGGCATCCTGTAAAACTTTACTCACCGATCTACTTCCTTTATTAGTATCGAGCTGACCACCTCATCGCTCGCGGAGAGGTACAGCTTTAAAACATCACCCTTCTCGGGTCGGGTCTGAACCAAGATACTAACTAGGTATTTTCAACGAGTTGGCATTCTTCAGTCCATTCAAAGTCTTTACTTTTTTAATTGCCTTGAAAAAAGGCAGGCAACGATCTGTTGACTTGGACATGAAGCAGCTTAGAGCAGCCATACGGCCATTCAGCCTTTAAACCTCTTTCAATTTGCGAGGTGGCTTCATATCCAAGATAGCCTTTATTTTTTCGGGGTTTGCTTCGATGCCACGTCGGTTAACTATGTAACCCAGGAATTTACCCGAGGTGACACCAAAGACGTACTTGTTAGGGTTCAATTTCATACTATACTTGCGTAGAATTTCAAAAACACACTGCAAGTCACTTATTAAACAGTTCGAAAATTGGGTTTTGACGAYCATGTCGTCTACATAGCATTCAACCTTATTGCTGATCAACGACTCAAATAGTTTGTTGACAAGTCTTTGGAAAGTCGCCCCGGCATTTTTTAGCCCGAAGGGCATGACCTTGTAACAATACAATCCTAGTTCAGTTATGAATGTTGTTTTTTCCTCGTCGACGGGGTCCATCTTGATCTCGTTATAGCCCGAGTATGCATCCAGAAAACTCAGCAACTCGTGCCCTGAGGTCGCATCCACTAGACGGTCGATCTTAGGGAGTGGGAAACAGTCCTTCGGGCAAGATCGATTCAGGTCGGTATAATCGACGCACATGCGCCATTTACCGTTGGCATTTTTTACCAGAACGGGGTTAGCCACCCAGCTCGGGTAATGGACCTCCCTGATGAAATTGGTTGTGAGGAGTTTCCCGACCTCCTCATCGACTATCCTCCAGCGCTCTGGGGCAAGGTTACGTTTCTTTTGTCTAACTGGTCTGACTACATGATCAATACTTAGCTTATGAGTTATTATTTTTGCATCTATACCGGGCATTTCTGCCGCGGACCATGCAAATATATCTAAATTTTCAAGTAAAAAGCTTACCTGCTAAGAACGGAGAGACTCCTCGATCGCTGCTCCGATCTGGAGGGTCCTGGCTGGATCTTCTATTGAAGTCGGGATGTGGACCGTCCCCTCGGTCGGTGTAGCTCGCTCCTCGAAATACTCTACAGGTTACTCTAGCTCGAGGTCGTTTTCCAGCTTGGCTTTCCCTTTGAGGGCGGCAACATAGCACTTGCGTGACTCGAGCTAGTCGCCTCGCACTATTCCAACTCCAAAGTCCGTGGGGAACTTCCTAGCCAAGTAGTAGGTGGACACCACTGCGCGAAGCGCGTGGGCAATAGGCCGACCTATAATGGCATTTTACAGGGAGGAAGTCGCGACCACCAAGAAGGTGTGCTCGAACCTCGTGATGCTAGGCCAGGTGTCGATCTCCACGGGTACTGAGATTCGCCTTAGGGGCCTGACTTCTTCTCTGCTAAAGCCTACCAGTAGAGTGCTTGTTGGCTTGAGGTCGCCTAACTGGAGTTGGAGCTTGTCGAACACATCTTTGAACAGGATGTCTGCTGAACTGCTAGAGTCGACTATAATACGCTTCACCTCGAAGTCGTTGACCCTCATCTTTATAACCAGTGCATCATCATGGGGGTATTGGACCCCACGTGCATTGTCTTCCGTGAAGAATATCGGGTCTTTGGGCCTAGGTCRCTTCGGCGGATTCTGCTCTTCGTGTTCTAGTTCGCGAACTGAGGATTTCCCTGCGGCCGAGGTGCAGCCCGCGACTATGGATCCGCTAGTGATCGTGTTAATCATCCCACGGATCGGTCTCTCCTTGGGCAACCATCTTTGCGGTTGCACGTTGTGCCAGCTGTTGGACTCGGGAGCATCTCTCCTTTGCTCCCCCTGTCAATCTACTTGGTTTTTGTCATCTCTTTGTACAAAATTTTTTAAGTATCTGCGACGGATGAGCTCTTCTACCTCATTGCGGAGGGCTTTACAACTTTCAGTACTGTGACCGTGGTCTCTATGGAAGTGACAGTACACATTTTTACTTCTGGTGGCGGGGTCTCCCTTCAACCGAGGTGGCCACCTGACGAAAGGGGCGTCTTTGATTGCCAAGAGGATTTCTCCCCACTTCGCGTTGAGGGGCGTGAAGTTCGTTCTTTCAACTGGGGGAGTTTGGGAATGAAAATCTAACCTATTTCCTCCCCTGGTTGGGGAATTGCTTTTCCTCCTTTCGCTGCCACCATTGTTCGAGCTGTTGTCTTCTCTCTTTCTTTTCTCTGCCAGGGCTTCAGTCCTTTGGTTCATCTCCTCTTCGGTCCCGATGAACTGGTCGGCGAGCTTGAGGAATTCGGTGATGTCTTTAGGCTTGTTTGCCACCACATGACACTTGAATTCCCTGTGTGTGATACCCTTCTTTGCTGCCGCGAGTCTTACGGCGGGATCTAAATCTGGGATTAGCAAACAAGTGTCATTGAAGCGTTTGATGTAGCTTCGAATCGACTCTCCTTCCCTCTGGACTATGCTGAGGAGGCTTTCTTGTGACCTCTGACACTTCTTGCTGGTGATGAAGTGCGAGGTGAACAACTGCACGAGCTAYGCCCAACTTCTAATTGTTCCGGGTGTGAGGTTTTTGTACCACGTGTGAGCTACCCCTTTGAAGGTCGTGGAGAAGGCAACACACATGCAAGCTTCGTCAGCCCTAGCGAGGTGCATCTGGGACTGGAAAGAGTCTACATGGTCATTTGGGTCGAAAGACCCGTCATACTTATCCAGGGGGACCCTGAAGTCCTCGGCATCGGAGTGGCTAGGAGTTCGGAGGACGGAGGAGAGGGCACAGAGAGGAGGGGAGCGGTTTATGTGATTCCCGAGCTTACCTCCGCCTTACTTTTAGGCTGCTCAGGTTGGCTAGGTCCAGCGAGCTGGCTTGGATCTACTGTTCGAGGTGCCTTAGCATGTCGCCTTCGTTGCTGCTGACCTCCGCGCTGTCAGATGGTGTCTTGGCCAGAAGTGATTTGGACTATTGACGCCGGCTACTGCGGACAAAAAGGCCTTGTCTGGAGTCTGCGGCTAGGACCTCGAACCGGTTTCCCACGAGTGAACCTTCGGGTTGCGAGGGCCGGGGTGGACTGGCTCTGGCGGATCGAGTATCTCCCGACCTGTTTACTTGCTACGAGGTGGGAGGAACAACTTGCCTTTCCCTCCTGCTGTGAGATGAGACCTAGGAAGTCTCTTCCCGGTGAGGAGAACGATTGTTTTGATGACGAGGCTTCCTTGGTGTGATCGAGCACTGAGGCGGGGTTGGCTGTTGGTTCTGCTGCAGCGATGGGAACTGTTGCTGGTATATGTGGTGCAGAACCTGCTGTTGGTAATGCTAGAACTGCTGGATCTGCTGCATTTGGGCTTGAATAGCCCACACACAATGTACCAGGTCATTTAGTTGGTTCTGTCCGAATCCAGGGGAACCACAGAGGGTTCAACGGAAGTCGCACCCACTACAGGGGAAAGTGGGGCGTTCACGGGCACAGTTGATTGAGGCACAATCGGTGCTAGGATCCCACCCGCGGGGAGCGGTATGGTGAACTAACCTATACAGACAGACGGGAATTGAGGTTGCCCCCCGGAGATGTTCGCTTCGTTGTATTGTCCAGCGTTGCTGGAGAAAGCCATGGATTTGATTTTGAGCCAGAGATTTTGGAAATGGAAACAAGGGCTTTTAGTAGCGAGTTCCCACAGACGGCGCCAAATGATGTGGTGTAATCTGGCTGCTCCCTACTGGAGATGATCTGACTGCCAGCAACGACGAGAACCGAGGTTCCTCCAAGAAGGAGTCAGAGATCCTGGGGCAGCTTACCTGGCGGGGACACTCCGATGGCTAAGTTAGCACTTAGTAGTAGAGAGCTTGAAGATGATATCAGAGAGTTAGAGAGCTAGAGAGCAAAGATTACACACATCATACCTTCGCCTCTGGGGGTGAGGTCTTTATATATTGGAGTCCCTGCGGGTTTGGTGGAGCAGTTCTTGGATCCTCGCTGAGATGGGATCCGTTTTCGTGTTAGGTGGGGATAATGCCACCAACCGGTAAGGTCGCCCATCTCCGCCTGAATCGGGGAGTGGGTGAGCTAATATAGCCGTTAAGGTACGATCCCGTAAGACGCGGGGTACRGTGGTGAGCTCCTCGGGGTTGTCACGCGAAGGTCGGCCTAACTAGGTAGCGAGTTGCCTGTGAAGTATCGGGCTACTTGGTGGTGAGCTGCCTAGTGGCGAGCTGCTTGAGCCCGTGTTCTTCAGACCCGACCTACTCTGAATGCCGAAGTGCCTTAGTACTGAGATGATCTTGCACCGAGGTGAACTCTTTTCGAGGTGGGCCCAGTTGTTCGAGCTCAATCTGTAACGGACTTGGTACCGTTATCCTAGTTGCGAATTGGAACTGAGGTGATCTTAGCTCGAGATGATCTTTAGCCTGAAATAACTCTAGTTTGGGGTAACATGGTGCCCGAGGTTGCTTTGTAGCAAACTGATCATGCTGAGTTATCAGTTATGTCAAGTCATGTCCACGTGTCTCCCTGTTACGAGGTCGGGCCAAATTTCCCTTCATCAGGTTTTATTGTGAAGTTGAACCAGAAGTGATATTTTTGGCCCAGATGGATTTTGGGGAATCAAGAATACCTTATAAAAAACAGGAATTACCAGAGGACTCCCCAGTGAATTATATTACCAGAATACTCTGGGTACTAGTTACCCAATTGCTGTTTCTAAGCTGCATCTATTTTCATATGGCTGCTGTTTTTAACACACACATGTATATATATATGTATGCATGCACGTGAAAATGGTTCACTAATTGGGTCAAGTAGGAAGTTTCCCTACATGAAGTCACAAGTTTCTGCCACGTTGAAGGATTTTGTGACTTACCCAGACTGTCCATCAGAGAGGGGATTTACTAGATTGTCCAGAAGTTTAGTCCCACAGTCCATATCAAGCGTTCATTGTTTTGTATACATGGGAAGCTGTTCTGGGCCCAAAATTTTTCTATGAATATAGGGTAAGGGAGGAACTTGGATGTTTCTTTTGAGTTCTGAACTATTTTTTCATGTGTAAGGTTCCTTTATCATTTAGCAGAGCTCACTAAACTAGTCAACTAGCAAACTCATTCCCATAGCTCCTCTTCTGTTTTGATGAGCCATTGTCATTCTTTCTTTACATTGATATATAGCTATTCCTTTGATATGTCATATGGGCCTGCCATTAATAAGTCTGTGCTCTTTCTGCAGGTAAACATAAATCATCCAGATGCCCATGAAAAAAAAACACAAACAATCAAGATTCTGTTAGTTATGCAGAGAATTGGCCAATTGTTTCCAGTGTACCTTTACTGTTTCCAAGAACTATCTGTACTGATGCCCCTCTAATGCACCATTTGGTAACTGAGATATGGCTGGGGTACTGATGACCTTAAAACCTCCATTGCGAGTTGTTACCAGGACTAAGCATTCTATTCCACTAGCATATTAGTATGAGATCAAGGATTTATACAGAGAACCACGCCAAGTAATGGTCATGTCAAATCTACTCTTTTTGTTAACAACATCCCAAGTGATTTCGGTGCAACTTTATCGAACATGAACAGTATAACATATTAACTGAGTGGCTTTAAGCAATTTGCAGGAGAAAATGGAAGTTTACAAACCTCTTATTTCAAATGACAAACGGAAGCACCATCCATTGACTCCCTTTAGGTTATTAAGGGGTCTGATTTGTTTAGTGGTGCTACTTTCAACAGCATTTTTTATGCTAGTGTACTGTGGCCTTGTCAATTCTGTCATATTGCGACTTTTCAGCATACACTATAGCAGGAAAGCAACATCCTTCTTTTTCGGCGCTTGGTTAGCTTTGTGGCCTTTTCTTTTTGAAAAGATAAACAAGACCAAAGTGATTTTTTCTGGAGAAACTGTTCCTGAAAAAGAGCGTGTTTTGCTCATTGCTATCCATAGAACTGAGGTTGACTGGATGTACATATGGGACCTTGCATTGCGGAAGGGACGCCTGGGATATATTAAGTATGTTCTTAAGAGCAGTCTGATGAAACAACCAGTTTTTGGTTGGGGATTCCACATTATGGAGTTCRTTTCAGTAGAGAGGAAGTGGGAGTTTGATGAACCATTCATGCAGCAAATGCTTTCGACTTTTACTGATCCTCAAGATCCACTCTGGCTCACTGTTTTCCCAGAAGGCACTGATTTTACGTAATTCCTCATTGTTCTCCTTATTTCATTCTGTGCACAGAAACTACCTGTCAAGTATTTCTAAGTTTAAAATTACAGGAAACATCCATAGGCTGCAATAGATTCATTCTTTACTTGCATGAAAGCCAGTGCCATTTGTATGTAGAGCTTGCACTTTCTGCATTATATTTTTACAGCCATTTACTCACTTAGGATTTTACTTTACTTTTCTTTACAGAGAGAAAAAATGCATTCGGAGTCCAAAGTTTGCAGCTGATAATGGTCTGCCCATCCTAAAAAATGTTCTTCTTCCAAAAATAAGGGGTTTCTACACTTGCTTGGAAGCTCTGAGAAGCTCCTTGGATGCAGGTACTTCTTTTTTTCTTCATTCTCTGCTTTCCTAAAAGCAGTTTGTTGAATTTAGTCATAATATTTGCAACCTATTGCAATTATCTATTTCTGAAATCAAAAGTATTCTCTTGCCTCTTGCGGTTTACAGAAGATGGTATTAAGCACTCAGCTGGGGCAAATCACTAGTTTGATCTACTATTTAGAATTGTTATCATGGTTTCCTGTATTGGAATACTTTATCTAAGGAGTTGTAGGGTATGTACCCTGTCTTCGTATAAAAATTATTGCAAAACCTATTACTGAAAAAGCTTTCATGAGATCGACAGATAATTTGGTTGGCTACCATAGGAAGAGCTATTTTCCACCTAACCTATTTATTGAATTTCTTTCAAATCTTGTGGTTTAAGGAAGGTGGTAGTTATCCCTGATCTTGTTCAAACTATTGACTTGATCTACTGTTGAAATCTGGGGTCATGATTTTCCACTTAAAAACTTTCATATAAGAAGCTGTGGGGTTTGTATCCTATCACTTGACACCAGTAATTACTGCAAAACCTTTCATGAGATTAATAAACCATATAAATCGCTACCATAGGAAGAGTCTTGCCGTTTAACCAATTTATTGAAGAAATTTTAGCTTTTTAAAAGCACTCTCTCCCTTTCTCATTGCTCTATCTATGGGTATGACATCTAATTTTAGCTTTTTAAAAGCACTCTCTCCCTTTCTTAATAATCTTCTTTTAAAATTCACATGCTTCTTGACATGCCCTTGTCTTCAACTGAATACAGTTTATGATGTCACTATTGGGTACAAGCATCACTGCCCTTTCTTCACGGACAATGTTTTTGGTATTGATCCTTCTGAGGTTCACATTCATGTTCGTCGTATCCCTCTTGGTGAAATCCCAACATCCGAAGATGAGACTGCTGCTTGGTTGATGGATACATTCCAACTGAAGGATCAGCTTCTCTCTGATTTTAGTACTCAAGGTCATTTTCCTCATCAAGGAACAGAAAAAGATCTCTCTACATTGAAGTGCATAGTAAATTTTATACTGGTAGTTGCACTGACCAGCATATGCACATTCTTTACATTTTTCTCATCAATCTGGTTTAGAATGTATGTAGTTTTAGCCTCTGCTTATCTTACATCTGCTACCTATATGAATGTTAGACCATTACCATTTGTAGAATCTGTGAAAGTTATGCTTCGTCAGAAGCGATCCAAGCAAGGAAAATAGCATGCCACTAGGCTCCAATATTTCAAATTTCAATTTAGAAGTTGATGATGATGAAACTGACTGTAATCTAAATGTTTCCCGTTGTTGTACAGAAATTTTTTTCCCAACATTGTTTTGTAATGAATAGCCCATGGACGTATAACACTTAAATATATCTACATATCTATTACCCAAAAAAGATATATATATACATTATAGCCATCACTAACATTACCATCAATCTTCCTCATCTGTCTTGTGTCGTTAAGCTGGTCTGTCACAGGAACCCCGTTCCATGGTACTTCTATATGCGTACACGAACACGATCTTTCTTAAAACAAAAATTAAGTAATTTCTTATTCACTGTAAAGAAAATAAAAAGAAAAAAAAAAACCACATATTTATTGTATTTTTAGAACGTAACAGTTAAAATGAATTTTCGTTTCTCCTGAATGCGAGTTTGAGAACTTGGTAAAATTAGTAGTAATTTTTTTATGCTTAAAAGTTTGAGCTGTATTTTCAATTTTCATCTCTTCTATAATGATAATTTTCAATTTTCATTATCATTTGCATCAAAGGCTCAATTTGGAAAGAATACAAATACAAATATGTACAGTACAAATACATACAAAATACAAGGTTTTGCACTCTATATATTTGTATTTGTACTCTTTCCAAAGCCAAAGTAAATTGCAAAAAAGTGCAAAACAACTTTTTTTGGCCTCAAAACAGGTGAAAAGAATAGCTAAAATATTTTAGCCTGAAAAATCTTCCATTCATTTATAATGAGAAAAAAACACCATGTTATAGTTAAATGCTAGCGGAGACTCGTGTGATGTATAGGATCTGTTAAGCCAAAGCTAAACAATAACAACACATAAGAGTATGCAAATTTTTTTATATTTTTAACTTTTTAAATAATTATTTATATTTATATATTACTTTAATGAATTTTTACAATACAAAAATAACAATAATTAATTTCAGCTAAGGTTATTCATCAAACTGATGAAACCGATGAACCTAACCAACATGGCTTGAGTTGGTTGGCTTTTTAGTATTTCTGGTCAGTTTTGGTTCAACAAATTCCCAACCCAACTAGGTTGGATTAGTTTTGATTTGGCCATTTGTAAATCGACCAAAATCGAATGATCCAATCATATACATATATATATATATATATATATATATATATATATATATATNATATATATATATATATATATATATATATATATATATATATATAATTTTTTAATACGAGATAGTGGGAAATTCTTATATTTTTTAGTCTAAAATATTTTATATTATAAATTTAATTTTTTAAGTTTAAATCTTCTAAACCAAAAATTGACCTAAATCGATACAACCAATTTAATTTTAAAATATTAATTATTTATTGAATTTAATAATCTATAGAATTATAATTTATACTATTGTTACATAATTTTGTTATTTTAACTATTTAAAATCTAATTATGTTAAATATTTTGTTATTTAAATATTTAAACAATATATAAAATATTTAAAACTTTTTGTTATTTGAATTTTATTTATTTTAAAGTTATTACATAATATTAAATTTTTTGTTATATAATTATTTATCTATTTTTAATGTTTTGTTATTTAAGATATTTAGTTATTGAAATATTTAAATAATATTTTAATTTTATTTTTCTATTATTTGAATAGCATTTAAATTGAATAATCCGGAAAACCATAATTTACATTGTTAGTACATAATTTCATGATGAACTTTGTAAAACTACAAAATTATTAATAATTTGACTATTGTTAAATCTATTATAATTATTTTTGTGTTTTTAATAAATATTTTATTATTATTATATAATTTCATTAGAATATTTAAATAATTTTTAAATTTTTTTAATTCAAACTTTCTTTAGATAGATATAGATAAAAATATAAAATATAAAATTATTAATAATATGACTATTATTAAATCTATTATAATTATTTTTTTGTGTTTTTAATAAATATTTTAATGTTATTATATAGTTTCGTTAAAATATTTAAATAATTTAAAAATTTTTTAATTCAAACTTTCTTTAGATAGATATAGATAAAAAGTGGGAGAGAGGATAAATAGGAATTAGAGATAATTTATGAGAAAGTGGAGGATAGTGGGGAAGGTAGTTTAGGAGAAATTTTTGGAGAGGATATTGTTTAGGCTATTGGGGGACGTGTGGGAGATTTTAGGTAATTCATTATGGAAAGGAAGAGCATCTCATTGGTTATTTCAAAGATGACATGGAATAAAAAAATCGAAACAGGGGGGAATTTCTAGACCGTTGTGTTAGAAAAGGAAAGTGTTGGTGAAAGGGACTCAAGGGAGAAGTTTTGGTCATACTATGTTGTAAATCGTTGCCTAACAAATTATATATATAACTCCACGTAAGAAAGCTCATTGGCATTCTCGTCACCCAAATCACCTTATTTCCAACATTGTAGAGTGCCAGGTCCTGATCTATTCTTCACAAAGCGCTCCTCACACCAACCTCACAACACATTTTAGTTGTACATCAACATCATGATCCTGAACTTGTATGTTGTTGTTATTCATGGGGTGGGAACATCTACCGAACTTGTATGTTGTTGTTATTCATGGGGTGGGGAGATGTTCTCAATACATGATAGGTGGGATGTGCTATGAGCAAGGTTCAAAGTATCGATATTGGCCGATCGGTCTTTTTTTTTTATTTTGGTTTAGAGGGGTCGGTTTAAGTCCGGACTACCCTTTGAACCAGGCCATGACCCGACACAACCCCTATAGGGGCATATTGGGAAGGGCCTGATACGATACGTATCGGCCAATACGTAACGATTTTTTGAAACTTGGCTATGAGGTTGTTGTGAGGTGTCCTCTGTGAGGAGCAAAATCCCATGGATTGATGGTTGGTTTGTTAATTATTAGGGAAATTTCCCGATTAATACCTTGTATTTTGGGTCTAGTGTCACTTTAGTCCCCTAACTTTAAAACGTGACAATTCAGTACCCAAGCTTTCAAAACGTGTCAATCCAGTACCTATCATTAACCTACCGTTAAGTGACATGTAAAAAAACTGCATCATTGGCTCCAATCTCTACATTCCCAAGTCCCTATATATGTACTTTCAAAAAACTCTTACTTTGTTTGCCAATTTTAGAGACCTGATGATCATAATCAGCAGCATCACCCAGCCGGAGTAAGAGCTCAGCAACCTGGATTGCATCTCTTATATTATAGCACTCGAATGCAGCGTCGTCTGTCCAGTTCACATCCCTCCATGCTGGCAAATAAATAAAAACCATTTATTTAACATTAACTTTCCTTCACCTATGCTTGGGCAAATCCAATCAAATATGGTAAACCGACAATTTAAAGTTCATCCATTTGATTACAAATAAACCCATCTCATCCATGCTTCCTAGACTTTATCAAACCCACGGACTAAATCCTTACTGAAATTGTTTGTCGCAAACMGTATATCAGTAAAAGGGATCTTTAAATCGAGATCTAAGTTAGGAAAAGGGGAAGCGTTTGTGTACTCCCTCCATTCATATTCGTGTATGAACTCCCTTCATAAAGATACAAGGGTGGCCATGTGAAGGAATAACTGGGTGTCGTTTGCCTAGTTCTTGCATTTGAAGATGGAGATGAAGATGGTAACTACCAGAATGCCAATAATAACAATGCCTCCAACAACTGAACCCACCAAAATAACGACATGATTGTTCTTCCCAAACCCTTGCAAGAATGATGTATCCATATTATTTGTAATCTCCATGATTTAATTTCCACCCCGTTTAGAAAAACAGTTTTGATAGGAATTAGGAAATAATGAATATGGACCTACACTGATCTTAATAGTGCCTGAATCACCAAAGTCCACCATGAAGTCGGTGTGATTGAGAATCAATAATGCTGATCAACAAGATGCTTGGCATTAGAAATTGTTATTTTTCGGTTGTTGTGCAGTGGAGGAAATGGAGTATGGAGCAATAATGCTGATTATTTCTTCTTTTGGGTAGGTGACTTTGTGGGAGGGATATCTGTGGCTTTTGGGTTAAAAAAATAACCACGACTATCATCCGAATGTTTTTTTTTTTTTTTCTGATAACCTCGTATACAACAATGCATCCAAACCTCAATTACATACTGTGCAGCCGCGGTCCGATTGTTCAAAGCTGCCCACTGTTAACACATAATACCCAAGCCTGCCAGGTTTAGAAAGCGAGCATCCCTCAACCTATGCAACTTCTCCAAATCACCATACGCCGCAGCTGTGTACGCATCGTTCCTAAGGTTCTCATCACCTCTGCCAATGTCGTTCGTCGCCAAATCACCGTGGTGTTTACCTGTCTCACGGTTTTTGCTATTCTTTCGTTGACGACCTCGATTTTTTTCCTCTAGTATTTTGAAGATGTCCCTTGGCATCAAGGAAGTCTTCAACAATGAAAAACTTTTAAGGTTTAAAAGAGACAAGGGCAAAATGGTGTAAAAAATATTACGAAGGACAGTTTTGTCATTTTATAATTGAAGGATGATTAATAGTAGGTACTAATTTTGAAATTTTAAATGCTAAATTGATACGTTTTAAAGTTTAGGGATGAAAGTGATACTAAACCTAAAAGTACAGGATACTAAAATGGAATTTTCTCTAATTAGTATTGTTGGGTTGGCAGACATGCGTGGTGGTCCTTGGAGGTGGGTAAGATGGCTTCGGCTTGACTGGGCTGGATATCAGCAGTTGTTGTCTTCTGGATACCTTCTCTTCCCTTACCTTTCCCGATCTCAGAAATTTATGCCATGCCATGCCATGGAAGTAAGCTGGGTGAGGGTGGCTAAAAGCCTAAACTAATAGAAAATAGAAACATGTTTGGCGTGACGTTTTTTTTTTCTTTTCTTTTTAGAAACAGAAGCAAGTTAGCAGCAAGCCACGTTTTAGCGATTGGGTGAGTGGGTGGTGGGTAGTTAGTTGGCTGAACTCAATCAAAACAAATCAATCTCGTAGGACTAGGAGTAGGGCCGGTCGATTCCCTTTTCGTGTCCAACTCAGACTACAAGTCTAGAACTAGAAGAAGGTATAGCAGATGAGATTGGCAGCATCCTTGTTCCTCAACTCGTTGCGTATTCGTGACACTTTCTTTGGGTTTGGGCGGACAAGGCCCTTTACCTTTACCTTTGGCTTTAGGGGTGTGAGTATGACATAGATATCGACTATCCATGGGAAGGGAATGGATCCTTTGTTAGATAGAGGGACCGACGGATGAGTAGGAGGGGTACGTGGGGCAAATGTTGTGTTGTCACAACTCTGAACATGCGCGCGCCAGCACCAGCAGAGGCCCAGCCCAAGGCATCCCAACTCTCGACAGACGACATTTCACATTTGTGTTAGTTGTTGCTCTTTTTTCTCTCTCTCTCTCTCTCTCTTCGTCGTGGGACTGCACTGGAAAGTGGAAACAACCGTTACAACGTGCACTCTCCCTGTTTGTACTAACATTACATCGTGAAAATTCAAAAATTTCACAAGGAGGGAAAATGGAAACCGTTTGATGGTTGCGACATACAACGAGTATGCTACACGACATGACCCACCACTTGGTTGGACCAATCCCGTGAGATTCCACTCTAGGAAAAGCCGAAAAGGAGGTTCAGAGACGTTCAGGTATAAACGAATCAGGAGTCCTTCCCTCCACTCCACAAATTGGGATTTGGGTTTGGGCGACCAAAAATCCATTTAAAGATTTCCACGTTGTCTTTGATCCCCACGGCCACCGAATTGAATTCCAATTACCAAACAATTACATTCCAACTCCTAATTTTTCACAACACAAAGATAAAGAAGCTGATGGCGACCTGGCGAAAGGTTACTCTTCTTCTTGCGCTCCCATTTCTATTCGGTCAGTATTTCCACTAATTCTATTTCTATCTCATCCCTTCCATTTCTCCAGGAACCCTGGAAGTAATTAATTAATTCATCTCCCCTCCCCATTCCATTAATCCACTCACTCTCCTCCACCGCTTGGGYTGGGATCTGACTGTCACATCATTTTTCAATTGCAGGAAGAACAGCGTTCGCGACCGTCTTCACCCTCCAAAACTTCTGTGGCTACACTGTCTGGCCAGGTGTCTTATCTGGCAATGGTGCTGCCGTCCTCGGCGATGGTGGCTTCTCCTTGCCGCCCGGCGCATCGCTCCAGCTCACCGCACCGCCTGGATGGTCCGGCCGATTCTGGGCTCGCACCGGATGTAACTTTGACGAGTCGGGTAATGGTAAATGCGCTACTGGCGATTGCGGTGGATTGAACTGCGCCGGGGGTGGCGCACCACCCGTTACACTGGTTGAATTCACCATCGGTACTAACGACAACGACAACAATAAGGATTTCTACGACGTCAGCCTGGTGGATGGCTACAATGTGGGTATGGGAGTACGGCCGTCGGGTGGGACGGGAGACTGCCAGTACGCCGGTTGCCTTACTGATCTCAACGGTAGCTGTCCGGCAGAACTGCAAGTAACGGACACGGGGAACAACGTGGTAGCATGCAAGAGCGCGTGTGCGGCGTTCAACACACCGGAGTTTTGCTGCACGGGAGACCACTCGACGCCACAGACGTGTTCACCCACCCAGTACTCGGAGATGTTCAAAAGTGCGTGTCCGACGGCGTACAGTTATGCATACGACGATGCGTCCAGCACGTGTACCTGCACGGGATCCGATTACTTGATCACCTTCTGCCCTACTACTGGATCATGACTCGATAGTCGATACTTTCCCCCTTCTTTCACTCTGTGGGTCATCCCATGCGAAATGGGAATGAATGATACATGCATGCATCTCACCTCTGGCTTGTTTTTGTCTTGTATCTTCATTTTCTTGATTAATTTTTTTTTTTATTTGATTGTGAAGGGTGGCGTTGGTGCCCGAATTTTATGACCGGAATCGGACATGGTTCATTGGTTGATGATCTCTTGTCTTGTGTAAAAATCGGATATGCTTCGCATCGCATTAATCCCTTCATCTTATGTTTCATTTGGAAGAACACTTGATAATAACTAAAATGAAATTGTTCAAGTTGGTCCTTGGTTGGGATTTAAGACACGTCCCTTTATTTTAGGTTGCGAAGATATACACATACATTCACGTAAAGAAATGAACTAGCAAGCAGCATCTCGTTTTGCCTTCCCTTTTCATTGTTTGATTCAATTCCAAGTATTCAACATTGGAAATGGAAAAACCAAATTAAGCAGTTGGGAACCATGAGAATTCAAGACAAGGGATGGGATTAAACATTAGATAGAGAGAGATCCAAGGCACATCCCTTGGGATAACCTATTTGTTATGTTAACCAATCCCATCGACCCGTACAATACCTTTCTTTGCTTTTCTTTCTTTTCCTTTTTCTACACTCAATTTTTTCTATACGTTTGGACTCCAAATTTGAAAGCCCGAACTTGGAAAACATACCACCCAATCCTTCTTCAAGGATTTCTTTCTGCTGGGTGGGTAAAGGAATACCTACGTGTGGTGATCATCGCACAACATGTGCCACCTTTGCTATCCCTAGAAAAATTAAAGAGGAATGAAAAAAAAAATAGAGGGCGATATGTTAAAACTACTCCCTCTGTGTTACTGTTGCTGCAAATAAAAGCTTCGGATGCGTCTTAGCCACCACGGTCGCATCTCGCCAAATCCTGTGCATTGCCCTTCACCTTCCTCCTCACTGCTGAAGAGGGTCTGATCTGAACAATCAAGGCATGCTCCACAGGCTACATTGTATGACCGGCATGCAGAATGGCACACCCTTAGCCTATTGTCGCCATCCTTGTCACACTTCTGTATGGAGATCTGGCATTTCACAAATTGCTGTAATTAATATTCTCGTTAGGGAGCAGTAATCAGTAAAGCATACCAAGTCCAATTATTTTGCAAAACTAGCACAATGGTAACTTGGCACCACCACGTAACATGTATCTAACCATCCAACAGAAGGAATTCCCTCAAGGCCATTCAAGATCCCACAAACCAATCCAATCAATTGGTGATAGTGAAGCTATACCCCACTCTGGGCAGCATACTTGTTAGATACATTCTGTAAATGGAGGTAGAGATGGGATGGCGGAACAAAAACCCCATTTAATTGTTCTAGATTTACAATTTCGCCAGAACAAATGGAGAATAGCATACAAGATTAAGAGGGCAAATTGAGGAGGCCAGAAAAGAAGCATGAAATGTGAGAAACTTACCCAACAGGCTAGCTGCTTGGCAGCTGCTAGACAGTAGCCATTATCAAAAATGCTAAATAGTGTCCGACTCCCTGGAATCAACCGGTTGTAGTTAGGCATGACCACAGCAGCTTCTAGCTGCTGCAATATGCTTGGTTCACTAGGTGCACAATGTTGCCCCATTGCATCCCTTGCCAGAACATCCCTACAAACAGACAGACTAGGAAGAAGCATGGAACTGTTCTGGCATGTATACCCCGCATAGTCAGAGCAGCGGAACTCGCAGATTCCATTATCACATACCCCACCATGGAGACTGCATTGCTCATCACAAACAGCTGCAATCATATAAAATCATGATTATCTTTTGATGTTCTTTCGATATATACATATCAATCATGGATAGATCTTTTCATACCACTACTTGCAAAAACAGACTAGGCCACCTAGGATGCATAATCAAACAGTATGTACTAAAGCCAATAATCCATCAAAGGTGGCCCGCCAGTTCAGAATGACAGATTCAGAAAATAGGAATTTTTGTTGGCCATAAAACTGAATTTTTGCTTCAAACAAGGGGTAAAAGGCATCAATTATTTGCTCTGTTCATATGTGCAAATAATATGAACTTAAAAAATCCAGTGGCTGGTAAAAAAGTTTTCTAGCAAGAAAAAAGCAACAAGTACTTTAAGAAGACACCAACACAATTTTAGGATGAAAGATATTACCTGTTGAACAGTCAATCCCTGTATGTCCATTTTCACATTTACATATTCCATTAGGAAGGCACCTTCCATGTCCATTGCAATCACTTGGGCAAGAACCTGCAAAAGAATTCATTTCAGATCTAAAACAACAATATTGTAATGGAGTCATTGATCCCCAAAAATTAAAAAAAAAAAAAGGAAAAAAACAATAATGGAGCCTGGGCATGTAAAATCTGAATGACAGAGAGGAATGAATGGGGCAAAGCAATAATCTTTTCGTGTAAATTTTTATTTGAAAAATTGTTCTGGAAATTTGAGGCATTGAGCTATCTCTTTAACTATATTATCAGAATTCATAACTTAGAAATAATATTAAAAGCTCCATCATTCAAAATTTTCTTTAGGTGAGCTGGGACAAAGCCAATGACCATATGGTTGTAACATAAAATGTCTGGACACGTGGTTGTGGGATAAGATGTTTATGAAAGCAACAAGTAATGATCAGTGCTCACGTTTAATGCAGTCGTGACCATGAAACCCTAAAAAGCAGTGGCACTTTCCCTCAATACAGTCTCCATTGAAATTACAAGAACTGGGGCATTGGCCAGAGATGGGTGCTGGCATGGTGTTACATAATTCATGATAAGCTGGACATATGAGTTCCCCTGCACACATTTAGACCAAAAACCTTATTTGAGAATGAAAATAACAAGTGAACTGAATACAGATTTCAACAGTAGGCTGCATAGTTACCATTAAATCCAGGGAACTGAACTGGTCCTCCAGCTTCTGGACATTCTTTCCACAAGCCATCAACAGCAACCTATATAATACATGAATCACATCATATTATAAAGGAGAAGCATGGATCCAAAAAGAATCAAAATTTAGGAAGTAAGAGGCCATTAAGTGTGTGGTGAGAGCAAAAAGTCTTGAAGAGAACTGAATACAGTACTTTAATATCTTTCTTTTTGCAAGCATGCACTCAAGTGTGTTTGTACAGTTTAACTTTTCATATTTAGGAAACCTACCCAGACATCAACAAGAGTGCCATACCTGTAAAGTGTTGTTTACACATCGCTGTTGATAACAACCATTCCCCTGGGCCATGGATCCTCGGACAAATCCAGTACGGACTAAAGATGAACTCATGCACCTATAGTTACAAACAATGTTCAGAGAACCGGACCGAGCATAGAATCGGAGAAGGGAGAGGTTCACGGGTCAGAGGTTCGACCAGGGTCAAGCCAGAGGTCGAACCATGATGATGTGGCATACACATATATATACTATGGGTCATATAAATACTATATATAAGCCTTTTAACTTACACTTTCTTTAAAATACATGCATAATAATGTAATATATATATATAAATATATATATATATAATAAATAGCCATTAATTAGCATAAGTAAAGAGGTGGATTAGTGGTAATTAAGTAATCTGTGAAAATAAGAGGTCTTGAGTTCAAATCTTGTTAACAACATTTTAAAATTTCACTTATGTATGGACCTGGGCAGTTTCATGAAATCGGGACCGGTTCACCGGTTTTCAGCGGGTTTTGAGAAAGTCTGGTTATTGGGGTATGACCGAACTGGTCAGGGCCCGGTCGTGGTTCAACCACTCGGTCCAGTCCGGTTTTCTAAACAATGGTTAAAAATACAGAAATGTTATCAGCCCATACCAGACAGAGGTTGAATCATGTTATGAATGGCAAAAAAATATTCATGTAGCTGACCCCATATAACTACAAATACAGAAATGTCATTAGCCCATGCCAGAGGTTGAGTCATGTTATGAATGGCGAAACAGGATTCATGTAGCTGACCCCCCATATGATGCTGATGATAATGGTGACGATTACTCACCGGGAACTACTTCCTCGCACTTCACCCAACATTCTGTCAGGTGCCCGAGCACTGCTTGTGTCTGTGCATGACCCATCAGAATAAGCTACAAAATAGGTGCAATAATCAGCCAATGATGATTGTCCACCTGCATTGATCAGAGTTTGGTTAATAAACATCATGACCATCTTGACTATATAAGTTAATGATTTGTTAATAGTATTTTTATGTGTTTTCTATATGCTTCAAAACACAAAAATATGGCAATTCTATACATTTGAATGCTATGAACAGTAGAATTTTCAATGAGAAAAGCAGGTCTAAGGAGGAGCTTTTGGAAGCTATCACAGTGAGAGCTGCTTAATGGGTAAACATTGCAGATGTTCTAAGTCTTTTCAGTTAATGACATTATTAGAACTTGGTCTTAAGTTGCACAAACAGACAGACACACTGAAGAGGTGAGAATGGACTGGAAGCTCCCGACTGTAAATAAACTGAAACTAAACATTGATGGTAGCTCTAAGGGCAACCTGGGAAAAGCAGGCATTAGGAAAGTTATTAGAAACCATCAAGGTTCGATGATGGTTTTGTTTTCAGGTCCAATTGGCCTAGGAGATTCAATAAAGTCAGAAATATTTGGCACTTTTACAAGGGGTGCAAATGGATCAGATCATGATCCGATCCGAAATCTGATCCTATTTTGTCATATTCAGATATCCCTATTTCGGATTTGGATCCGATTAAAAATCAGATCGGATTTATATATATATATATATTCAGCTGGGGTGAGAAGGTCTGCAAATGGGGTAGSAGATGTATTAGCTAAACAGGGAGTTGACAGGCCAAATCTTTTCTGGCCAAACTTGTAAAACTGTTACTTACCAAATGGTGTTTGAATCTCCAACAAGTGTATTAATTTTTAATCTTCATCTTTCCTTTTGCTGATCAAAAAAAAACAGTAGCCACTAGCTCCAAATAGAATATTAAGAACCACAACCCTCATTGAGGTTGGACATGCTATTGACAAGTCCCACAAAGAAGAGTTCCTAGTTCAGTAATCAATGGATACAGGATGGTGACCACCATCTGATTAAAGGGCCTTTTTCTGCAGGAGTAAACCAAATTCCAAGACAATGCTATAGTTCCAGCAGTTGAAGTTATTTCAACAAAGATTATTTGCATCCTGGAAGATGTCTTCCATAGAATCCATCAACAGGAGAAGCATGTATATGCAGGGCCAAGCCACAAAACAAAATATTAAAAAGCACTGGTAGGATTATTGTGGCCGGAA